CTTTAACTGTACATATAGATGCTGGGGTGTGTATAAGTTTAAAATACGTTGTGGTAACCTCTCAGCCTGCATGAACTTTTGTCTAGTACAAGAAGGGACAAGGAGTCTTCTCTTTTATCAGTCCAAAGCAAAGGACATCACTGTGGTGCTAGATGAAGATGCTGATAAGAAGCTGCAAGCCTGGCTCTGACAAGCTGCTTCTGAGACCTGTGACCCAGACGCTACTCTATCACTTCGGAGAAAGTTGCAGGCTTCGGGATTCTATTGCCATTCAGAAAGATAAAGGGGATTCTAAGCAGATTCTCCTTAGTCTTCCAGAGAACAGGGTGTACCTCTTGATGACCTCGGCTCTGCCCCGCTGCTCACTCCCTGCCAGCCACGGCACGAGATAGCGATTAGCTGTCTTCATGGCCCAGTAATAACCATGTCTGAAATGTTTTGCATGATTAACCTATTAGATACAGTACACTTCCAACCTCCTCAAGCTCAGCTTCTCTTTGCTTCCTAACATGCAGAATGAAGATGAGGTAAAAAGTATCCCTATAGATGTGGGCTTTGGCAGGGCATCACTTGAGGATGCACTAGGGCTGCCAAGCCGTGGCGGGGGATCCACACGTCTTCACAGGATCCCTGCCGCGGGGGACAGCGATACGCGTTGCACCGCCGTCGCCAGGATGTGACGCTACACGTCGCTCTGGCAACGGGGCTGTTTGGAGTCCCGTTGCCAGAGCGACGCATATTGTCACATCCTGGCGACGGCGGTGCAATGCGTATCGCTGTCCCCCACGGCAGGGATCCTGTGAAGGCGTGCGGATCCCCCACCACGGCTTGGCAGCCCTAGGATGCACCCCTAGCAGAAGACCAGATAGCTGGGGGGAGGTCCTTTTTTTTAGCTCATGACAAGGCCCTTTCCATTGCATCCTTTGATTTAGAGGCCTGGGATGTAGAAGGAAAGGGAAAACCTCAGGAAAACAGATTTATTTATTTAGAAGCTACCTATGGCAGGACTGGGCATCTCCCAGGTGACCTGTAGTTCAGCTGCCTGTAGCCAGCTGGGTAAAGGTCTAGAATCCATTGGTCTCATTCCCCCAAACATATGCAGGGCTCTCCAGTCTGTTCAACCAGACATTTATTCAGTCCTTCAGGCATACAGTCCAAGGAAGTAGCTGACAGCACTCTTCCTGCCTCAAGGCTCAGAAGTTCCCCTTGCTGCCATCCCCCCAGCAAGCCTCTCTGCTGTTTTGAAGCCTTGCCTTAATAAGCACCCTGGCTTGGCTGACCTGCTGCCCCGCCTATTCCCAGCTGCTACCAATGGCTGCTGGCTCGGCAGTGTCCAGGGTTGCTAGCCCTTACCACTCCACCTGGGGTTTGTCTTTTCTGAGCAAGCTTCTCAGAGCTTCTGCTGTACCTTTTTGCTTCCATCCATGCCTGAGGGCTTTCCTCACAAGGAGCACCTCTTGGCCTCTGGAAAGTGGGTTCCTTCTCTAGCCTGTCCCTGTCACAGCACCTCTCCAGAGACTGGCTCAAGGTGGGTCACAAATTAAAACCATATAGTAAAACTAACAGCATACACACAAGCCATTAAAAACAAGCCAGGGACATAAAACACCTCAGAGAATCATAAAACGATGTTCGTAAAACAGTCTTCAGGCTAGAAACAGAACAGAAAAACAACCCCTCCCCATTGGAGTTCCCTCAGTTAGAAACCTGGGTAAGAAGACATGGTAGCTAAAGGAAAGTAATGTAGGTGCCAGGCAAGTTGCAAAGGGGAGGGTGTTCAAAAAGTGAAGTGCCACCATTGGAAAATATAAGAAGTCTATTGTGTAGAAGAGAAATCATTGGAGATGAAGCACTGAATTGTGGTACAATGCATATCTTCTTCCAGGCTTCTCTCTCTTGATTTCCGGAGTTACTCTAGTTCTCTTTCAGTACTGCCACCATATAGTCAATGAATAGGGCACACACTGCCTGAGGGCTAGCACCCAGGCACCCTTTTGCCTTGTGCTGCCTTATGGAGTAGCTCAGACCTTTGTATCTCCCTCTGTTACCAAGGGGACTCAGCGCTCTTACTTACACTCTCTAGAGGAGTGGTGATCAACAGCTGCCTCTTCCCTTCCTCTCTCTGGGTATGCGTGACTGAACAGGGCTTAGTGTGGATCATAGAGATCAGACAAACGTCATCCAAAATGTAAGGAACTTTTAATAAATTAAAATGCTCAGAGCAAACTGAAAACACAACAGACTGAGCAATGACAAATGAAAAGGCAATAAAACTGGAGTTCTCTGACACGAACGCATACATACCCTAAATGATAAAAAAAATAGTATGGAATTATTGAATCTGTATACATTTAGAAGACACTCATTGCCTTAATTTCAGTAATTTCAGGTCTTTGTGGTCGCAGCAGTGTGTGCTCAAGAGGGAGTCCATGTTAGCACAGCAACAACTCAAACTGGCTTGCAGCAAAATGGAGTCTAAGGAGAGTAAGACAGTTTCTTCCTCGTGTCTAGGGGTTTTATCATCTTTATTTCTGCCTCCCCCTGTAGACCCACTGTTTCTTTCTGCCCCCAAAGGAAGATCTGTTATTACCTCTTGCCCCTTGTAGCTTTATAGCTCAAGTGAGGCCACTGTAGGTGGGTCCTGGCTATTGTTCCCCCCTCCCACTTAGGCTTTTCTGTGGTAGTGGGTTGCTTCATATCTAGGAGGTGAGTCAAACCTCTCTCTCATTCCCTCCTGCCAGTCAGCAAAAGGCATTTTGTAATCTCTGAGCCTGTGTGGAGTGCTGACCCAGTTACAACTGATCTTGTTACGCATTCTGGGGAGTGCAAATTTCGAGGTGTAAGGCATTTCACCACAGTCCCATTGATTACAATAGAGGATAATCAGTTTCAGTCTGCTATTGAAATCTTTCCTGCCAGTCCTTGAGTAATGAGCTTTATTAGAAGTTCTACCTTGCCTTGTCCAAGTAGTCCTTTTGGAAACTCTTGGAACGACTCAGGCTCTTTTCCCTGCAGTTTCTGAGTTGCATAGAGCAGGCTGAATGCACCAAAGAATGTGCATAAAGTTCTGCTTCCTCGATTCACGTGAATGGGATAGGGAAGCTCAGGATGCACCCTGGAACTCCCACACTTGTATGTTACTCCTGGGTCTGATGGAATATATCTGACATTGTTTCTTTATGCATTCAAGTAGATGCAGATATTTGTGGACATACGGGTGGAGGGGATAAACAGAACAGAAGGTCCTAGCATTGCATTCTGTGCTTTGAGGTGTTATGCTGAGTATTCTAAGGGCGAACATTACTCATTTCCTATCCCCAATTTATATATTCAAGGTTACATCTTTTTTATTTTGTATCTGTTAATCCAAAATAAATCTTGGCCTCAGTTCTATAATATCAATCAATCTAATTTATTGCGGCCGGAGCCCGTAAAACAGTACAATTCTGATATAAAAGGGTAATAACATGGGAATAATATAAAAACATTAACAGGAGAAAGTTTCTATAATAACAAATGGGACTCCACCTATAATTATAGATTGATGGAGACGTAGTCTGCTGGCCACTTTTGAGCACACTGTGAGAACAAAAGTAGTCAAGGGCTACTTCCCTGCAGAATCCTCCCCCTGGAGTGCAGCATGCCCCTGCATTTAAAGGAAGCTCATGCAAAATCCTGCTCATTCTGAGCACAACTCATGGGCCTCCTGGGGCTTTCCTTTTGGGTTTAAAGGAGGAACTGCAGGGTGGTTGAAAGAGCAGCTAAAACAGAGACTGGGTGGCACTAAGCTCCTCAATCCCCCTTTTAACCCTTTAAAGGGCTTTTCCCACTTAGCTACAGCACAGCTCAGCTAGGAAAATGCAAGTGAGGGGAAAAGATGAGTTCAGAGAGGGGCCTTGTTCAGGGAATTCAGCACACGTGCTGGCTCAGTGAAAAGGGGCAGCGATAGCTGTGAATAGTGTGAGGACGGGGCGTGTGGATGCCATTCCTACCTGCTTCCATGCTTCTTGCTGCTGCAGCAGATGCATTATTACATCAGGTAGATCCAGCAAGAAGAAGGGCCACACCAGTGAAGGCAAGGAATGAAGGAACTGAACAGTGGTGCCATGGGAATAAATTTTATTCACTGTATGTATCCCAATGCATTTTGCTCAGCGCTTCCTCAGGGGGATCGATGTAAACTTTTAAAATAAGCAAAAAGCATAAGATTTATTTCCCAATTCTAAAAGACATGTTAAAAGGTTATATGGGTCAAGAATTTTTTTATGTAAATACATTTTTGAAAAACATAAAGACAGGGCTCTTGAGCATGTACAAAGTACATTATGATGTCTCAAAAATGTTGTACACTTAGCAAAGTAGTGTAAACATTATGGGGAACAGAAAACCTATAGGAGTAATATGATATCGTCATACAAATTATATTTCACTAAGTGTGGTGATCCATGGGAAACAGAAAAGTTATCAAAACTAACCTGCACTGTTTTGAAGTGTCAGTGTTATTCCCAATCAGCCACCTGTTTAGTTTTGATAACTTTTCTATACAAACAGTAAATACAATTTATTATACAATTTGTTTTGTTTCTTCATCATGTAGATCCAGCCAAAGTGTGTTGAGAGATATGTAATCCACACTACATGAACTTGCATATGCCTCCTTAGTGGTTGAATTATCTCACACTGACCTCGTAGCCTTGCTTAATTCCTTAGACTGGTTTAAAGAACTCCCTTGGCATAGTTGTACCTTTGTATATTTTGAGAAACCCTCTTCAGATCTGGGTAAAAAATGTTTTTGAAGGATTCCTACCCCACCCCCCAAATCTGCATAGGGCATGCTCTTGATTTGCCAGCTTTGTGTGAGTTGGTCTCTCTGATAAGAGCCCTAAGGTCACAGACTGATATGTACAAACCTAGGACAGAGCAGTGCTTAACTCCCCCTCCCCTTTCCTCTTCTCTTTACCTCTTTCCTTTCCTTTTTTTTCTCCCCACCTTCTTTGCAGTCCTGGACGCACAACATCCAGCGGGAGAAGGAGTTCCTGCGAAAGTTGGTGAAAGCTCGAGTCATCACAGACCTCACCAGCGGAATCTGAGGAGGCACAGCCACTGTGCTGAAGGGCACGGCCACACGCATACAGCTGAGGACAAGGGGAGGAAGAGGTCCCTGGCAAGGATCCCAGCTCCTTAGAGACGCACAATGCCCCTTGGCAAGTCTCCTTGGCTTTGCTCCGTCCGACTGCATCAGGGCTGCTAGGGGAGTGGTGGTTATTGGCCTGAGGTGGCAGGCCCCACCCATGTTGGAGATGGAGCATCATTGGAGAGAACAAAAATAGGCCAGTGAAACAAAACAAATTGTGCCAAATGGGAACAGGAGCCAGGCCAGAGGCAGCAGTGCTTGAATGTACAATTATATTATTTTTTACAAAGAAAGAAACTCTTGAGAATCATGTCAAATATGGCAAGGTGCAAAGTGGAGCCTGGCTTGTGCTCATGCGCCAAAAGACTTCTAAACTGCCTCTGTGCCATCTGTGGCCCTTTGTGGGGCCTAAGTCCGTCCAAACCACGTCTGCTGTTGGTGCTGCTATAAATGAGAGAGACTGTAGCCTCTGTGCCGTAGATGGAGTGAATTGAGAGGCCTGTTGGATCATTAGAACTCCTTAATTCTTGTGGGATGGTGACTCTGCCAACATTTCACCCAGCTTCATTTTCAGCCATTGTTCATACAACCCATCTCATTATGTTGGGGAAATCTATATGTGTCTGGCAGGTTGGCCACATACTCAGCTGAGAGATACCCTAACCTTTATTTTCTACAACATCTGAATCATGGTTTTAAGAATTCTGTACTTTGCTTTGGGGGGGGGGCAGGAATAATTTATTTTTGGATCAAATCAGCGATTGTATCAAGACAGAAAGACTCACCAGTGTTTAGCAACTAACGGTGCCAGAATTTTTTCACTCATTTTACTGCACTCTGCTTTAAGTAACTTAACTATTGAGTATTTAAGCTCCTGTTGGGACAGAATAGATATTACCTGGCTAGCAACTACTTTGCTTGTTAGGTTGTACCCATCAGGTGATTTTCTCAGTCTGTTTCTGAATCTTCTGCTTCCTTTTTAAGGGGGGCAAAGATGTATTTGTTGTTCTGCTGCCATAAGACTGGGATACTGCCGTAAGACTCGGATGCAGTTTTTGCACAAGTGTGTTCCATTTGTGTTGGATAAGCTAAGAAATGTATTGTGCAAAGTGACCAAATTGTGAGGAGGGTGGAGCAACAATGCATGTCTGGGGATCTGTGCACAAAGAGGCACAGGGCTGTTACTCTCCACCCTGTCCTAAAGTATGAATATGTTTTGCATCACTGTGAGGTCCAACATTACATTTATCTTTTCTAGTTGGTCTTTCCTTGAGCTGCAAGGGTGTCAGAGTCTGGACAATTCAACCCTTCTTTCCTCATACAAGCAGGGCTGAAAAATGCACATCCTGTACATCCTGAGAGCATCCACCTGCATTCTGTGCTGTGAACATGTCTGTTGCCTGCTCAGTGCCCCAGATTCTGCTGAGAGATTATGAAGCGTGGCACTGGTTACTGATCAGAAAGGTTATGGAATGTATCCAGCTCTAGTTGTACTAGGAGCTAACCTAAGCCCCCTGGGCTGTCTGGTCCTCTGCTGACCTGTGCAGGAGGTACCATTCAAGGCTGCATGAGAAAAGTTCAGAGCACTGGCATTTTCTCCTTTTACAGAACCTAAAGCTACAAGCCAGGCAATTCAGGATGGGGTTTGAGATCAAACAAGCTTCCTTAGCATGCAGTTTCCCCTGCATGTGCATTGGTGTGCTTGGCTTGAGTGGATGCCTCATCATAGGGGCAGAAGGACTTCTCTGTGTGTCGGCGGTCATGATCACTGGCAGATCCTACTCAACAAAGAGTAACAAGGTGTGGTGTGGGGCACTTGTAGGTAGCCTGACTCCTTCAATCGAGGTATGAATTTAGCTCCAAGCACTCTGATGCTATCCTAGTCTCATATTCAGAGGGCATGTTAGCAAAAAAATAAGTTTTCTTACATGGCACTTCCTGGAGGAGAACGAACATAGCAGTAAGAAGTAGTGGCTGAAGAAGCAAGAACTACTGCTTTAGACCCCAGAAATAATCAGCTATCTGGGAGGAGCTAATGGCAACACCTAAGCGAGTGTATGCATATATCTGTGTACATAGTTATACATTTATGTGCATATCTGAGAGAGATGTACGTTCTTGTCAGAGATCAGTCATTAGTAGTCCAGCTAACCAACCAATTTTAAAATTGTCAGCATAGCTCCTAGGCCAGTGTTTCTGAAACTGGCGGAGCACTAGTACAATCCTATGCAGAGTTACTCCCGTCTAATCCTATTAAAACGAATGGGCTTAGACCTGTGTAACTCTGCATAGGGCTGCACTATACAAGTCCTTTGTAAGGATAGAAAGAAAGCCCTTCTTGTGCCTGTTTGACTAAAATGGAAACAGAGGAATGAAGGCAGGTTCTCCACCTCAAGGGAAGGGGATGAAATCTGCTCCCCCTATTTTGAAGGGTGGGATCTGCCCAGTCAACTAGCTTCCAGACCACCTTGGAGCACTAGCCAAAAAAGTGCAGACTGGTCGCTGGGAGCCAATAATTCAGTTCTAGTAACTCTAATTGGTGGCTCAAGGAGCTACAGTCCTCATGCAGACATCATAGTTGCTTCTAGTAAAAAAGTGAACTGGTTTTCACTCTTTTTTCCCAGTGCAAGAAATTCAGCATAGAGAAAGGACATTATCCATGTCTAATGGGAGCCAATGGGAGTTTTCAGTTGAATACCAGAAGTTCAGGTTGTGTTCTGTGCTGTTTCTATTAACAGGACTTGAAAGGTTTTCCAGGCACCTTCCCACCCCAGTGAGCTTGTTTCTTTCTAAACTTTAGTAACCAATAAGGAATTTTCTTATATTATCCACTGCAAAGTCCTTTCCTATCAATGTCAGAAACTGATTAAAACTTGGGATAGTGCCTTTTGAACTGTAGCCCTATAGAATTGGGTATCCTCTGAAATCTGACATTGTAGCCCATGTACAGACAACAAAAACACATTTGTCTTCAACTTGCTTTTAAAGTGTAGCTGATATGGGTCTTGGTTGTTGTTGTTTTTGACATTCTGAAGATGCAAAAAGATAGAATCCTCCTTGTGTTACCCCTACCAGCATAGATTTAAGAAGCTGGATTGCTGACTTCAGTTTCTGGGGGAATTTAGCTAAATGGCAGGCCTCAGCGAGAGGTGGGGTATTAGATCTCCTTCCTATATTTACAGGAATCTTTCCCTTTAAGGGAGCTCTCAATATCCAGTCCATCGTTTAACCAAAAAGTGTTGTTTTTATTAAAAGAAAAAATCCTAATAAAATGCACACATACAGAAATAAAACACATGTTAAATCATACACACAAGCAATGGAAGTACAGAGGTGAGCAGGAATAATAGGAGGGGAAATATACTTTACCTATCCAGGAGATCAGGAGCCCATGGAGCAGAGACTGGGAGGATGTGGACATGACCCAAACGAATTTGGGGGTGACTTGCCAGTAGGTGCCTGAGGCAGACACACTGCAGTGGAGCTGAGGCTGCCTAGTTATACCCAAAAGCGTGTCCAGAGGACTTGTTAATGTGAGGGGTCCCTCAGAACAAAGCACTGATGTGATTAATCAAGGATAAAACAATGTAGTTTGGAAACTCTGTATGGAGTTCCAGGAGTGGACAAAAGAGACTGGAGGTTCTCCTCTAGATGTGAAGTACAATTTCCTGATCACTTCTCCAGTGGTTGAAGGACTAATGTATTACTAATTTGAACGAATCAAAACAGAAACAATACTGCTTGATGAGCCACCTTCATTTCCCTCTTGAGAGTTCCGGCACTTCTTTTTTTAAAAAAGCCCTGTATCCAAGCCACCACAGGTACCTCTACCTCAGGGATAAATGGCTATCATATCAGTACTAAGTTTTACCCTTTGGCTTGGCTATTGCCCCAAGAGTTTTTACATAGTAGATAGTGGTAGTGGTGGCACACCTAAGGTAACTTAGGCTGTTTCATCTATTCTTATTTTGATTACTAGTTAATCACTGCCCCAGCCTGCGAGCTTTTGTGAACACACGTGGACTTAATTCTGAATATATGCCACTATTAAGGCCTGGTTATGAATAAACACCCACAGACCCTCAAACAGATTGTTGTGTGCATTGGAAGTGGGAGCATTTTTCAGAGTGGGCTGTGTCAAAGGGGGTTCCCTCAAGTACCTGTCCTCTTCCCTTGGTTTCCTATCTCCTCTCTTTGAAATTCCTGGGTCTGTCCACTTCATCACTAAAGGTCCATTTAGCAACTATATCAGCCTTATACTCTCTTGTGGATGGTAAGACAATTCTCTCCCATCAGTCCTCAAGGATGTTCCTTAAGAGTTTATTTAATATGCTTCCTCCCTGTAGTTCCCCAATGGTTTCTGTCCTTGGTGCTATCTCAGCTTATGCTGTCACCCTATTGAACCTTTGGCTTCTTGCTCTCTGTCTATCCTATCCTATCCACGAAGGTGGCCTTTTTAGTAGCTATTACATCAGCTAGGAGGTAGAAGAACTAGCGGCCTTATGGGCTGATCCTCACTTTATCAAGTTTCACTCAGAAAAGATGGTACTTAGGACCAGCATTGCAGTTCCAACCAAAAGCCGTCTCAAAATGCCATCTGCCACAAGATATAATACTCCCTGTCTTTTCCCATCACCCACATCTAATGCGGAGAAGACTCTGCACTCATTGGATGTTAAGAGAGCTTTATTATTTTATTTGCAGAGAGGTGGTCTCTCCTCAAACTTTGTCAAGGTGGATTGTTTCTGCTATTAAATAGTATTATCAGCAGGCAAAGTTGCCCTGTCCCCTTCAGATCTGGCTGCACTCTACTAGAGCTCAGGCTGCTTCAGCTGCTTTTGCTCAAAGGACTCTGCTGACTGATAACTGCAAAGCAGTGACATGGGTGTCTTTGGACACCTTTGTGAAACATTCTGTGGACATAAATGCAAGGAGAGAGACATCAGTTGGTAAAGCAGTTCTACATTCTTTATTCCAATGAGAGCATCACCCAACTTCCATCTTGAATGGCTTGCTAGTCTCCCAATGTGGGACTGCACAGAAGACCAAAGATGAAAA